ACCTAGATATCTTTGTGGGAGCAAATGGGTCAGGTTAACCTAAATATCTCTGTGGGAGAAAATGGGTCAGGTTAACCTAGCTATATCTAGGCAGGAAATTGGTCAGGTTTATTAGCTCACCTGGCACGAAGTGCCAAGTGAGCTTATGCCGTGGCGCGGCGTCCGTTGTCCGTCTGTCCGGCGTCAATATTTTACTTTAAACGACTTCTTCTTAATAACCGAAAGGCCTTGGGTGATGATATTTGGCCAGAAGCAAACTGGGATGAAGGGCTACAAAGTTTGTTAAAATTAATGACCTTCACCCATTTTCAAGGTCACTGGGGTCAAATATGTTAAAAACTTTAAACATCATGATAACCAAACTTCCCAGGGAGATGATATTTGGCCAGTAGCATGCTTGGATGAGGCTACCAAGTGTGTTCAAATGAATGACCTTCAATTTTATTCAAGGTCACAAGGGTCAATTGTCTTAAAAAAACTTTAAACAACTTCTTCTGAATAACCAAAAGGCCAAGGGTGATGATATTTGGCCAGTAGCATGCTGGGATAAAGGGCTATCAAGTTTGTTCAAATGAATGACCTTCACCTATATTCAAGGTCACAGGGGTAAAATATGTGAAAAACATTAAACAACTTCTTCTGAATAACGAAAATGCCCAGGGTGATGATATTTAGTCAGTAGCATACTAGGATCAAGGGCTACCAAGTTTGTTTAAATGGATGACCTTGAATCATATTCAAGGTCACAAGGAGCAAATATGGTCAAAATATTTAAACAACTTCTGAATAACCAAAAGGCTCAGGATGTTGATATTTAGTCAGTAGCATGCTGGGATCAAGGACTACTATGTTGGTTAAAGTGAATGACTTTGACATATATTCAAGGTCACAGGGGTCAAATTTGTTTAAAATCTTTAAACGACCTCTTCTGAATAACCATGGGTCCCAGGATGTTGATACTTTGCAAGTTGCATCCTGTGATGAAAGGCTATAAAATTTGTTCAACATAATGACTTAATTTGCCTGTTGCTTTATTTTAGATCACTTTTAAGCTTACAAGGCTACATTCGCGTTACCGGTTGAAACGGTACGTGTGGCGCAGAAATTTTCCACGATAGACGAACACACTTGGACCGTTCTATAAGCAGAGCTAAAAATACAGTTTCGGAGAATAAAAAACAATGTATCAAGAATATTATGCCCTTCTCTCACGCGTCCACTAAATTACATAACGTATCTTAAAAACTACATGTGGCTTGACATTGTTTTAGAAAGAAATAACGCAAACTAGCAATATTCAGCAGTTTAGTTTCGGCCAGGTACGTCTGGACCCCTCAATCTACACGTACCAAATTTTCCTGAGGTCAGCCTCGGTCCAAATCTGTACCTGTCGTTTTCTTTACAGGTTCAACCGGTTCAACCGTTTCAACCGGTAACGCGAATGTAGCCCAAGTGTGAGTTTTATACCAGGTGTGCGATGCAGGCCCATTGGGCCTCTTGTCTTAATATCTCGGGGGAGGAGATGGGTCAGGTTTACAATTTGTTTAGTCTTTAAATGTTTGGATCTGAAGATCATTGCAATACATACATGCAAGTAAGAAATTTAAGGAGAAAACTATGCAAATGAGCTGAGTAGATTGAGTGAAATGTGAACACATGTTTGTGTTAGAGCGTGTATGAGGGAAGTGTGTGTACCTTGTGTGTGAGGGATTAATATTTTATCTAAATAAATGAACGATTGGCATTAAATGTTGATGTTTTGACGTGGTTTATTGTTGTAATATTATCTTTTGGTTCCATTGTGTGGATGGTATCTTTAACTATTAATCTTGTTTAGGTATATATCTGCCCAAATAAAGACACTGTATTGATGCACTGTAATGTATATACTGTCAATTGTCATATTTTTGGTCAATTTAATCAGAATTATGTAATACAATTCCATCAATGATTAGTCATGTTAGGGTTTTAACACATATAAAATTCCAGAATGTAGTGACTATACAGAGAATGTAGTGACAAGCTGCTTACAAAATACTTACATATATAATATATTAACATTCCATTCAATGTTCCATGTATTTTTTATTTTATTTTTTGCCTTTCTTTTCTTAGAGCAGTCATCTCTTAATACTTTACGCTTGTAGTAGCAGACTTGGATACTATATAAACTTCACACCTGTAAGGCAGACTTGGATACTATATAAACTTTACGCCTGTAGTAGCAGACTTGGATACTATATAAACTTTACCCCTGCAGTAGCAGACTTGGATACTATATAAACTTTACGTCTGCAGTAGCAGACTTGGATACTATATAAACTTTACCCCTGTAGTAGCAGACTTGGATACTATATAAACTTTACGCCTGCAGTAGCAGACTTGGATACTATATAAACTTTACGCCTGTAGTAGCAGGCTTGGATACTATATATAAACTTTACGCCTGTAGTAGCAGACTTGGATACTATATAAACTATCTATTATTTATGATAGTATACTATATGTAGTGTATCAATATGTTTTTATTGATGTGTAATGCTCATTACATCTGTTCTAGCTTTTAATAACTTTACAGATATTCCAGACTTAGTGTTAATACTCATTACTGTTGCTCAACTGTTGGATTTATGATACTGTGTGTAATGGTGCTGGGAGACTCCAACCATTTAATGTATGTTTAAAACATTGTGTTGAGTAAGTGGATGATGCTTGGTGGTATTTGTCTTGATGTGTCTTATAGTCGGTTTCCTCCTGGGTTAAGTCCCTTTGTCCGTCACCCTATGAACTGCTCTTTTTTTACTTGTTTAAACGTTTCAGTTCATGAGAGTATGTTAACAGATTGACTACAATTACTAAAATATAACCAAATTGAAGTCCCCCTTATAAGGGGAGGTAATCCCTGAAGCTGGTGCTGTTTCCCTCAATATTGAGGATATGTACTGTACACCCTGCTTCATTTGATGGCAGGAAAACTATCTGTGATATAAAACGTGTGTGTTTACACGGTTCATAGTTCAAGCCATGCCGACAACAGTTTGTTGTCGCTGTGTACTGTTACATAGGGTAATACACAACAAATTCCTTCTATATAATATTTTCTCGTGCGACTATGCCTGAGGAAAAGCATTACAGGAGTTATTTCCCTTGAATCCTGGTAACAAGCCACATCCCTAATCTGTCAATCACAAATTTATATTCTGAATATTAACCTTTTAGATATTGGAATTAAATATGAATACTTTTTATTTTAAATGCTTTAAATGAAATGCAGCATTATTTTTAAAGAATCATTGCTGGCTCTAACCATTATTTGTTGTCATTTTCATCAGAACATTATCCTTATTATCTTTTTTTTAAATTGAATTTTTAGCTGCGGGTACAATTTATGTTTGCATTTACCTTTCTCTGCATTTCCCTAACAATGAATCGGAAGTGTGTATAATCGGTCATGTGTGTCCGGGCTCTGTCTAAGGTTTCACCTTATGTTTGAATACACAATGTAATTGACTTGTTTTAGCTGGCTAATTAGTGTCACCATAGGGGAAGCACAGACACTGTGTGCTCTCTCACTGTCTCCATCACTGGTTTGGAAACTGTTATCTTAATAACTGTTGATAACTGGTATCTGTTGTTGACATCACAGGTATTTGTCTTCCTATGTACTGTCTAAACCAACAGGGTTTTAGAGAAACAGAATTAGTATTTCATTCTATAGTGTGTAAAGACAGAATGCCTGCGAGACGATGTCATAGCACGCTCCTTCACGTTGGCAGTTTTTGCTTTATGTCAAATAAATTCTTCTCAAGAACAAAAGAGCCTTGAGTCACGATATTTTGCATCAACAGTGTAAGAACATGGCCTGGTCCCTGCATATTCACATTCATAAGTCACAGGTTTCTTTAGTGGAAAAAATATCCACCCTACTTTTCTTAGGAATGTAGAAGCTTAGCTTTGCAATTTTGTCAGAGCTTTGAGATGCAGGAATATCAAATGTCCTCAAATATGTGACCTAGTGCCACATTCTTGATCACTGGGGTCAAATGTGTTAAAAGTCTTTAAAGTCAGTTTCCTAACTACAAAGGCCGTGTATAGTAGTACTGTTTAGCCTGTAGCTTACAGAGGGAAATAAATGTCAGGCTTACTCAAATTCAAGGTGACAATATTTGGATGTCAAAAAATCAATAAACAAGGTCTTCCATGATAAGGCCCCGAGTTGTGATATTTGCAGCTAGCTTGTTGTTCAATAGATAGCCATTGACCCCTATTCAAGGTCACAGGTGTTGTGTCAAAATATCAAACATCTTCTCAAGGACCACCTTGGCTTCAGTCAAGATATTTACAGTATGACCTACTGGGATGAATGGATATAAAGTTCGTTCAAATGAATTGCCTTGGCCCTCATTTAAGGTCATAGAGGTAAAATGTATTGAAATCCTAAAATGAATCCTTATGAACCATGAAGTGATATTGGGAATGTAGTTTTCTAGGATAAAAGGCGTTCCAAATATAAATATGTTTTACATGTATTGTGTTATTTGTGGAAACATTTATGTTCGTGTCGGATAGAAATGTGTGAGCAATACAGGTCCCATGGGCCTATCATAGCTTTACGTACAGGTCCCATGGGCCTATCATAGCTCTACGTACAGGTCCCATGGGCCTATTATAGCTCTACAATATCGCTGCCTAACTTATCTAATGTGATGTTAATTCTAGCGTTATCATGTAATTGATTTCACAATAAACAGAATTTACAACGTTTACCTGATTTGTTATGTACTTATTGGTGTATTAGTGTAGGGGTCAGTATCAGTGTAGGTCAGTTTTTTGCCGTCTATATATAGAGCTGACCTGTCCAGGATTTGTCCTAAAACAAAGCAGTCCCAGGTCTGTTTGTAACATGAATATCTATCAACCAGATATATGTATGAAGTTCTAGAAAAATGAAGGTTGGGCAGTGAATTCCACAAACCTAGAAATGACACAGCACACAAGTATGACATATGCACATTTATTCTTTGCTGAACAACATTCCACCAGGTTACATGTGCTACAATAGTAAAAGTGGTCAAATCCACACTGTTCACAAAACTTCACAATCTCAACAACAAACACATTCTCAATTTTCTATTTCATAGGGTGTTTAATACGAAACTCCAGGAAAATTGCTTCATAATTGTTTTTGTATACTATACATGTATATAAGGACAAACTGGTAGTGTGTTGTGACCTTGTTTTGTTACATATTTGTGACTTAATTATGGGTGACCTTTATCACCTGGTGCTATGTGTTTACAGTTGGATAGAGACAGGATCAAGTACAGGATGTTATTATATCAGAACCGTGCAAAACCAACCATTACAATGAGCAAGATTTCTTAACTATTAAAACCAGAGAAAGGAATCTTTAATACCAGAAAATATCGGCAATGTCTGGTCTAAGGAAATAAGAACAGTAATGGTGACCTTGGCATTGACCTTGAAACTCTGAAAAAACATGAGATATTCTAGACTTTTGAATGAAGTTTGTTAAAGAATGAAGTTGCTAGTGCAATGCCACGTAATTGTTAGACACATTTCTACAAATACGGTAATAATTGTGGCCTTGACCTTTGAACCTTGAAATACAAACTCATTTAAGGTGTTCTCGCACATGAACTTTGATTAAGTAAAGGATGGGGCCGACATTTGTAACATCGTATGTGCCCCTTTCTCTCCAAAAACGGTAGAGGCATAACAACTTTTTTGAATTGAATGTCAATTGGATGCCAAGGTCCTCCTACTGAGCAAGCTACACTACATTTACACTCTACTGATGATAGCTCTATGGAGGATACATTGTAGAAGTTCAGTAATAGTCCAGTTTGTGTGTGTTCTGGCCTTTGTACTCGTCAGGTGTTGTTGACCGCTGATCACAGCCATCACTTAGACTTTAGCAGATACTGGTTAATTGTTCACTGAGAGACATTTTCTGTTACTTATTAGTCATTTTACTGCATGAATTATATCGTTCACACAATCGGTATGTTGGAGAACAAGTTTTCAATTTCCACATTCAGTACTAGGATGTATTGAGTGTGATCATCATGACTGATCAGTGATGGCCAGAACAAATGACCAAAGTTTAATTCTAGTAGACACCACAACATAGATATCCACAGTTCAAAGCTTTGGGATCCCATCACAAGATGTAGCTAACCCTTGTCATTAAAACATGTCACTGTGAATAAAAAATATTCTTGTGCTAATCCTCATACCTGGTTTTGAACAAACATAAAAAACTGGCCAGCCTCACCACACAACCAGCTGTCTCAAGTATTTATATACGTGTACTAACAAATAACACACCAACTGGCTTAAAAAACGTAGTGTTATTGTAATACTACAAAAAATCACTTCCATAACACAAGATATCGTGTAAATTTAGATAATTTCACAACCTTAAAAAATGTATTGGATAACCATTGATATGGTAGGTAGATTCGACAATGTCAGCATCCTTTGGTTTTACAAAGCTCACAATCCAACACATAACACATATCACTTCATTTCTCAGCTTCACTTGTATAACGATAACCTTATTAAAATGATTAAATTTGTTGCCAAGCATTTCCCTTTAAATAATTTCTTTCTCCATAGCCCTAGGTGACCCAATACGGCCAGCCATCTGGGTCCCTGACTGTGGACTGCTGTACCCTGTAAGTTCTGGTCAGATATCTTAGTGTCATCTATAATTGGACTTTAGACATTTTTAAAGCCTGGATAGTAACATTATGGAGACATGATCTGATGACCTTTGGATAGTAACATTATGGAGACATGATCTGATGACCTTTGACCTAGATTTGAGACAGTATTAAAGGTAAAAACATTATTTAATTGTAAGGCTCGACGGTATAGATCTTACTGTACAGAGGATTAATACGAAATCATGACGTCTGGACAGAATTTCTTTAGAGGCACTTTTCAAGTAAGTTTTGATGGACGGTGGAAAAATGACATGCATAGTCCATTCAAGTTTGTTGAAAGAAAAATCAAATTAATCAAATTAATTAATTACCTTAAGTACAAATATTGTTAAAAGGATCCTTTTTTTCTTTATGCAATAAAGGAACCTTTACTAATCTAATCTTGTCAGCTTTGTTTTCTTGAAAGATGCTAAAAAATCACAAGCTACCATGCTTCAGAAGATGTGCCAGTATGCTAAAAACTTGGCCAGTAGGGGTAATGTCCTTGAGTGGTCAAGATAACGGTCAACATCAATCTGGGCAGGCAATAACATTTCTACACTGAATAACAAACACTTTCAAAACTTTAACAATATATCAAAACCGTAACATTCATGTTAAGATAACATTGTAAAATATGCATGAAAACAAATTAATTTGATTCCCCAAAATATCTCTTCATTAATTAGCACAGCCCATGCATTATTTTTCCACTCTCTCAGTAAATATAAACTTTAGGAAAAAAATGCATATGTATAGAAAAATGAAAAATAGCTCTTAAACTTTAAAGCTCCTTAACAAAATACGTTGTGTATTACATACTAGCAAGTCTAACGCCACAAGGGAAAAAGGCCTGAAACAGCGACAAAAACTCTCAGACAAGTTGTAGGATCAATTTAATAACTAGCCCTTCTTCAAAAACTAAAACAAGGTACTTAGAGTAATTTCACACCTAATATCCTTATAATGGACTGTAAGTCCAGACATGTACAGACATATCTCTATACCAGATTAAGGTAAAGGGTAACAAAGCCTCAGTTTGTATCATGAAGAGGAGTTAAACTCTTTTATAAACTTAGGGTATTCTCCACTCTATATAGAAGATGAAGCAACCTAAAGGAGATTTTATAGCTTAGAGTTACTCCCCCTGTCAAGTTTTTCATATGCTTTGTGGCCCATAAATTGGTCACTCATTTTTACGCTGTGCTTGTGTAATTCTTGTATGGCAATATTGATAACATGTTGGGTTTGTAAGTTCCCATTCAAATTCTGCTGTTTTCTTGTTTTCTTCTTTTATTCCAAATTCAAACATTTAAATTTTCAACAACTACAATTAATTCTGTCAAATGCATGGCAACATGTGATTTTCACAAAATATTTCTTAGTGATATTCATTTGGTAAAGTAGCTTAACATGTTGGTACCCTTGGCCTTACGTGCTGACATATTGAGATACATCTTCTTTCTGTGTTTTCCCTTACACATACTCAAAGCTGAAGTATTTCAACCTTAGAAATTAGTTCCTTTGGAATGATGTAACTTAAATTGATCTAGGAGATGCAAACACAAATCTAATGTGTTCGGATTTCTGTAAACAACTAACCCAAATAGACTACAATAGTTACACTACAACAAAAATAACAAAACCTAAATGCTCTCTCAAGAAAATAAGCATGAAAATAAATAGTTGGTGTAGTCGCTGGACCTCAGTTGTATACCAGGAACCACCAAAACTAGGTTATTAGTAAGTGAAATCCATCTAATCTGACATCTTGTGGAACACCACATAGTAGTCAGATTTACCTGTCTAATCTGACATCCTGTGCAACACAACATATTGGTTGGATTGACCTGTCTAATCTAACCCTGAGACAAAACATATTGGTCAGATTTACCTGCCTAATTTGACATCCTGTGGAATACAACATATTGGTCAGATTGACCTGTCTAATCTAACCCTATGCAACACAATATATTGGTCAGATTACACAGAATGTCATAATGTATACGTTTATTTTGGTAGTGTTTATAAGAAATGGTATTACAACATTATTTTGGATTAGACAGGATGTCATAACACTTAGGGGTCAGATTAGACAGGTTGTCGGAACACTTAGAGGTCAGATTAGACAGGTTCAAATGTAGTTGGTTTAATACTCTAGACCAGAGTTTAGTCCTAGAAACCACAAAAACTAATATAAGCAGTTGGTTACTTTCCCACTTCAAATCTGGTCCCATAGATAACCAAGGATTCTCCCTTTGAACATCAAGTGTAAAGCACGCGTTTAAGATTTAATGAGCTAAAATGTAAACTTTGAGCCTCCTACGACAATTTGTTTTGTCAGTTTGACAGGCCCTGACGCTTCTTCAGGAACTGTGAGGACACTCTCTGGGCATGCTTCTTCAAATATTCCTTTCCACCATTCTTAATCCATTCAGCCTCAAAGTCCTTTCCAAGAATTTCTGCTCCCTTTTTACGGCCTAATCCAGTCTCCTCTAGACTGAGCTCGCACATCTGCATGTCATCAACACCTAGGGAGAAGTTTATATTATAAGTTTAAAGCTTGATTTGGAAGATTTTAAGTTTCCCAAAGCCTCACTCACTACCATGTTCATTATCAAACCATTCTGAAAAATATTCTTTTTACTTTAACATTTTCCCTAGATCTGGGTTTGTAACATCCCTTGAGATAACTAACTTAAATACTGCACACACAAGAAGTACAATTAATCTTACTTTGATCCTAGGGTTTGCCACTTAACTGTTGCACGTAATGATTGGTGAACTCACCTGACACTAAGATAATTGGCTGTTTATCGGGGTACATCTCCATCTGTCTGGCTATCCACTGACCATCAAAGTGGGCCCACCACATTCCATGTTTCTTCCCTGTTGGATTGTCACGGAAATCATCCGAGGGACGAGCAAATGGAATGCGGAAAAACCTTTGGACTGCATCCTGTTTGGTGTTGATATTTGGTTTCTGGCCGGTCGATTGACCAGTGGCTACTGCCATCGCCTCTGTAGTAAACATGAAATAGAGCTTAGCAAAGACATCTAACAAGCTGTTTAAATCTCAACAGACAGTAAACATCTCAATATGTTGTACAGTCAATATATTATACAGCTTACCATGGACAACTAAACAGACAGTAGACAACTCAACAGACAGTAGACAACTCAACAGACACTAAACATTACATAGCAATGGACTAAGAAGGACCTCACCTGCATTTTCCACCAAATCTTTGGGGGCTCGCTCATCTGGTGTGTTGTCATTGGTCTTCTTGTTTCTGGACTTCCAAGCATGGTAGACTTTTAGTCGCCGATGGAACTCAGCTCTGCAGGCATCAAGCAGCTCAATATCTATAACAATCATAATTTTTTTCCTATACATTTTAATCCCAACATTTCTCAACACCCCAAAATATCTTGTTCCTCCTGAAGTTGATTTCTAAATGAAACTTAATGCAATAGAATTATTATCGCTATTACTTGAATATATCTAAGATCATGGTTTAAATATTAAAACCAGATTTATAAGTACATACTGAATATATTAAAAAATATATATATATATGAAATAACAATAACTCATTCTAAAAAATCTAAAGAATAACTTTTTCAAAATCAAGATGTTTAAACCATACCAGATTTTCAGGTGACAGATGATTATAAGACATACCACATGAGGTATTGATGGTGTCACGTAGCTCGGCATACTTCCATTTGGACAGGTCATACTTCTTTGACAACAGGGCTGTACGGGCTGCTTGAACCTCTGCAGACCTAGACAAACAGGTAACTCAGTGTTATACACAGGTAACTAAATGTTACACAAACTTCTTACATATTATCAATAAACTATATGTGCATTAAGACAAACAGATATCAAATCATTACCCCTTTATTTATGACATCATCACATCTCGTTCTTTAAATTAGAGGTCTTCACAATTTAGAAATATATTTTTCAAGAAGAATGACATCAAGGTAATTATTATTCCCTTGGGTACAGGTTAGAACTTTTATTAATTGAATTAATAGAAATTGTGTTTAATCATTAAGATAATTTGAATATATTAAAACTGAAGATCGCTAACAGAAAGTCGAAAAAGTTGACATTACATTTATCTTAACTGTACATAGATATAACACGACACTACCACAAATGCAAGTCCCTCTAGAAAACAGCAAAACCACTTTCTAAATCCAAACATGCTCAGATTTGTAACATGTTCACAGAACAGAGGCTAGCTGTTAGTAACAAGGCCAAGACAGCTATTATCTGTCAGGTCAAGGGTCCCAGGATTGCTGGCAAGATGGCTGTGATGACCGGAAAAGAAACTCCACCTGAACTGGGACAGGAAGTCAGAGTGCTCAAGTAATTAAAACAAGAATGACCTGGGACAAGGGTCAGGGTATGTTGGGACAGGATGACCTGGGACAAGGGTCAGGATATGTTGGGACAGGATGACCTGGGACAAGGGTCAAGGTAAGTTGGGAGGGGATGACCTGGGACAAGGGTCAGGGTAAGTTGGGACAGTATGACCTGGGCCAAGGGTCAGGGTAAGTTGGGACAGTATGACCTGGGCCAAGGGTCAGGGTAAGTTGGGACAGTATGACCTGGGCCAAGGGTCAGGGTAAGTTGGGACAGGATGACCTGGTTCAAGGGTCAGGGTAAGTTGGAACAGGATGACCTGGGACAAGGGTCAGGGGAAGTTGGGACAGGATGACCTGGGACAAGGGTCAGGGTATGTTGGGACAGGATGACCTGGGACAAGGGTCAGGGAAAGTTGGGAGGGGATGACCTGGGACAAGGGTCAGGGAAAGTTGGGAGGGGATGACCTGGGACAAGGGTCAGGGGAAGTTGGGACAGGATGACCTGGGACAAGGGTCAGAATATGTTGGGACAGGATGACCTGGGACAAGGGTCAGGGTATGTTGGGACAGGATGACCTGGGACAAGGGTCAAGGTAAGTTGGGAGGGGATGACCTGGGACAAGGGTCAGGATAAGTTTGGACAGGATGACCTGGGACAAGGGTCAGGGGAAGGTGGGACAGTATGACCTGGGTCAAGGGTCAGGGGAAGTTGGGAGGGGATGACCTGGGACAAGGGTCAGGGAAAGTTGGGAGGGGATGACCTGGGACAAGGGTCAGGGTAAGTTGGGGGGGGATGACCTGGGACAAGGGTCAGGGTAAGTTTGGACAGGATGACCTGGGACAAGGGTCAGGGGAAGGTGGGACAGTATGACCTGGGTCAAGGGTCAGGGGAAGTTGGGAGGGGATGACCTGGGACAAGGGTCAGGGTAAGTTTGGACAGGATGACCTGGGACAAGGGTCAGGGGAAGGTGGGACAGTATGACCTGGGTCAAGGGTCAGGGGAAGTTGGGAGGGGATGACCTGGGACAAGGGTCAGGGGAAGTTGGGAGGGGATGACCTGGGACAAGGGTCATGGTAAGTTGGGACAGGATGACCTGGGACAAGGGTCAGGATATGTTGGGACAGGAGGACCTGGGACAAGGGTCAAGGTAAGTTGGGAGGGGATGACCTGGGACAAGGGTCATGGTAAGTTGGGACAGGATGACCTGGGACAAGGGTCAGAATATGTTGGGACAGGATGACCTGGGACAAGGGTCAGGGTAAGTTGGGACAGTATGACCTGGGTCAAGGGTCAGGGTAAGTTGGGAGGGGATGACCTGGGACAAGGGTCAGGATAAGTTTGGACAGGATGACCTGGGACAAGGGTCAGGGTAAGTTGGGACAGGATGACCTGGGACAAGGGTCAGGGTAAGTTGGGACAGGATGACCTGAGACAAGGGTCAGGGTAAGTTGGGACAGGTTGCCAGGATGACATGGGAAAGTGGCAGGAAGTCAGTGTAATCCTAGCTAGACACTGTGACACAGGAGAGGAAATCAAGATGACCCAGAGCAGGAAGTTACAACAAGTGCTGATAGGAAGTCAGAACTACCGGGTACACAGGACAGGAAATCAAGATGACCCAGAGCACGAAGTCGTAGCAAGTGAGGATAGGAAGTCAGAACTACCGGGTACACAGGACAGGAAATCAAGATGACCCAGAGCACAAAGTCGTTACAAGTGAGGATAGGAAGTCAGGACTAGACGGACAGGAACAGGAACAGAAATCAGGCTATCCAAGGACAGGACGTCTGGCTGGTTCATGTCAGGATAAAGGCTCACAGGACATCATTTAGGTTTAAATGTGCTAAAAGGACGTATTTGTTGCATCATTAGTTATTTAGCAGGACATCATTGATTATAAGCCTTTGAAATATTTATCCAAGCCTTTTCAAAAGGACATGAACAACATAGGATTGGCAAGCGTATCTCAGGAAAAATCTGGTACATGCCGTTATTGTTTTAAATGTACAAATGATGTCTTCCATTAAACAATGAACATGTGTTGTAACAGGACACTTAGGACAGATTAGATGTTGGTGTTACACCTCCTTACACCTCTACAGTACACAAATCATTCTCAGCATGTTCCTACAGTCAGTTAATGGTAACAAAGCTCCTTAGATCTTCTCACAATCGCAACAAACATCAAATCATTAGTTAGTATCACCATGACAACCAGATTGTGAGATGTGCAATGTTTCTAGTGAAAGGAACACATGTGAATAAGCAAGCTTTGTTAGGTCTAGACACTAGAAAAGCAGGAAATTGTGAGTCTAAACGAGAAAATTTTGATGCATTCAGGAAAGTAAGAAAATGGTGGTGATTCCCTGTACCTTTCTTTTGTAGCGCTAGTGATGAAACAGAAAACATGTACATGGTAATTAGGGTTCACAGTAAAGTCACATAAAAGGTGAAGGTCAGTCAGGAAAAAATACACAGTGAAGTTAGGTTCACAGTAAAAGTCACATAAAGGTGAAGGTGAGTCAGTGAAAACCACAGTAAAGTTAGGTTCACAGTAAAGGTCACATAAAGGTGAAGGTCAGTCAGAACAAAATACACAGTAAAGTTAGGTTCACAGTCAAGTCACATAAAGGTGAAGGTCAGTCAGTGAAAACCACAATAAAGTTAGATTCACAGTTAAAGTCACATAAAGGTGAAGGTCAGTCAGAAAAAAACCACAGCAAAGTAAGGTTCACAGTAAAAGTCACATTTAGGTGAAGGTCAGTCAGAAAATAATACACAGTAAAGTTAGGTTCACAGTAAAAGACACACAAAGGTGAAGGTCAGTCAGAGAAAAAAACCACAGTAAAGTTAGGTTCACAGTAAAAGTCACATTAAAGTGAAGGTCAGTTAGAAAATAATACACAGTAAAGTTAGGTTCACAGTAAAAGTCACATAAAGGTGAAGGTCATACTGTCAGCTATATGTTGCTACAATAATGTAGATTACAGTTAGCTGCCAAATGTTTGCTGTCAGTCTCACCAAAATTGGAGCTTGTTATTCCTGAATTTGGGTCTGATCATTAAAGTTATTCTCCGACTTCACCTTTGTATAAAGTTGGATCACTATTGGACTGACAATTGTAACACTATACATCCCCACTACCAGGGGCAAGACAATCTGTCCTAACGTTTGACTGTGGGACAGATTTGTTTGTTGTTGTGTCTTTTGCGTCCTCATTACAGGTAAGGTCCTATGAAAATTGTGTCATCAAATAATGAGGTCAACAAGTACTGGACCAATTGAATGTTGCAATTCAGTGAAATGTGAATTCTGTAACAAGATCAGGTGTCTGGGCTAACTAGACCAATGTCGAGGATCGGCCCACCTACAAGCTATACCGCACAGAAGGTTCCCTCAATGCTTGAATATTGTTCTAAAGTAAATATCTTGAAGGTTTAAACTCTTCCACAAAGTTGAATATCATACTGAACAATTATATTCATGATATAATTATAAATTAATATTTATTTATTGAACCCAAGCGGGATGGACAGTGGTAATTAATACACAGGCAAGTCTCAAGAAAATCCTATAAAAATCAGCCAATCAGAACACAGCAGCCTCATTAAATATGTGCCAAAGCCATGAGTATGCACAAGATTGTGCAGCAATTCAATGTCCCAAAACTCTTACAAATATAGACTCACTCAATATGGAACCCATACAAGGTCTCTGCAATAAGAGGCCTCACACTAGATTTGGTGAACATCCTAACACAGATACCCTTGTCAAGTAACTGTGTAAAGTCATAAAATCACAAATGTTGGAGTTCAAAGTCCCATAGCTCTTCCAAATATAGAAGGATTTCACTCCATATCAAACCCATACGAGGTCTCATGAATATGGTGCCACACACAAAATTTGGTGAACATCAAAACACAAATATGCAAGCTTCTGTGCAGAAAGCAAAAATGGACGGATGGAAAGACGGACAGATAATCTTCTTATTTTAGGGCACCCATATCTCGATCAGTGGAGAATTGAGTTAATGAGACTCTACTGCACCCAATGATACACAGCTGAACATAACATTAACCCTACCACCACTGTAGACCATAATTGACTCATCCAGATCAATGCATGGTAGAGTCTACTATAGTTACATAGGGGTGAAAGGGTTAAAGTATTTAACTCACAGATGTTCTGTGGCAGTCAAAATAGTCACCTAGTAATCGTAGTACTGTCACGCAGAGAGGAAATGGAAATTAGAAAAAGAACAAGGTGAATGTCATCATAACACAATAAAGGTGAAGGTCAAACATCAAGGCTGTGAAGTGAGGGGTCATTGAGGTCGTCTTACTTCTCTATGACCGTGCTGATGGCTCTATCAGTCAGCATTATAAGGGAGAAGAGAAGTTAGTCAGAGATACATGTCAGTAAGCAGATTACAAGTTATAATTAAACAAACATCCTTTGAAATCCCTCTGTTACATTAAATAGAATAGTATAGAAGGCTATCATAATAGGAATATATTATGTTACACAAGTTTTAGTTGTTATATAGAAAGTTTATAATAGGAGTTAGTCAGGGGCTATTAGGGGTCTGAGGTCGTACCTCTGTAGAGGGGGTACCACCACATCCTCCACAGCATCTTCGTCCTCCATAGCCAGACGTAGAGCCAGTTCTCGATCTCGGTGCTCCTGTTCAAGTTGATGTTGTCTGAAACACAATTAATCACACATCTATTATGTATTAGGGGAAACTTTCAGTGCTTTTAACAGAAATGTCCAATTTTATCAAATATAAAGTTCCACCACTTGATCATGACCTCTTGTTTGGGTAACCAGAGGTTGCTCACAAATAGCCATGGAAACGGTATCTTTTCTATTATAACTATTGATAAGATCAATCTGATCACTAAAGTTACCTGTACTTGGTCCTAGTGGTTGTAGTTACATACCTCTGTTTGTTCTCACTAAATTTACCTGTACTTGGTCCTAGTGGGTGTAGTTACATACCTCTGTTTGTTCTCACTAAAGTTACCTGTACTTGGTCCTAGTGGTTGTAGTTACATACCTCTGTTTGTTCTCACTAAAGTTACCTGTACTTGGTCCTAGTGGTTGTAGTTACATACCTCTGTTTGTTCTCACTAAAGTTACCTGTACTTGGTCCTAGTGGTTGTAGTTACATACCTCTGTTTGTTCTCACTAAAGTTACCTGTACTTGGTCCTAGTGGTTGTAGTTACATACCTCTGTTTGTTCTCACTAAAGTTACCTGTACTTGGTCCTAGTGGTTGTAGTTACATACCTCTGTTTGTTCTCACTAAAGTTACCTGTACTTGGTCCTAGTGGTTGTAGTTACATACCTCTGTTTGTTCTCACTAAAGTTACCTGTACTTGGTCCTAGTGGTTGTAGTTACATACCTCTGTTTGTTCTCACTAAAGTTACCTGTACTTGGTCCTAGTGGTTGTAGTTACATACCTCTGTTTGTTCTCACTAAAGTTACCTGTACTTGGTCCTAGTGGTTGTAGTTACATACCTCTGTTTGTTCTCACTAAAGTTACCTGTACTTGGTCCTAGTGGTTGTAGTTACATACCTCTGTTTGTTCTCACTAAAGTTACCTGTACTTGGTCCTAGTGGTTGTAGTTACATACCTCTGTTTGTTCTCACTAAAGTTACCTGTACTTGGTCCTAGTGGTTGTAGTTACATACCTCTGTTTGTTCTCACTAAAGTTACCTGTACTTGGTCCTAGTGGTTGTAGTTACATACCTCTGTTTGTTCTCACTAAAGTTACCTGTACTTGGTCCTAGTGGTTGTAGTTACATACCTCTGTTTGTTCTCACTAAAGTTACCTGTACTTGGTCCTAGTGGTTGTAGTTACATACCTCTGTTTGTTCTCACTAAAGTTACCTGTACTTGGTCCTAGTGGTTGTAGTTACATACCTCTGTTTGTTCTCACTAAAGTTACCTGTACTTGGTCCTAGTGGTTGTAGTTACATACCTCTGTTTGTTCTCACTAAAGTTACCTGTACTTGGTCCTAGTGGTTGTAGTTACATACCTCTGTTTGTTCTCACTAAAGTTACCTGTACTTGGTCCTAGTGGTTGTAGTTACATACCTCTGTTTGTTCTCACTAAAGTTACCTGTACTTGGTCCTAGTGGTTGTAGTTACATACCTCTGTTTGTTCTCACTAAAGTTACCTGTACTTGGTCCTAGTGGTTGTAGTTACATACCTCTGTTTGTTCTCACTAAAGTTACCTGTACTTGGTCCTAGTGGTTGTAGTTACATACCTCTGTTTGTTCTCACTAAAGTTACCTGTACTTGGTCCTAGTGGTTGTAGTTACATACCTCTGTTTGTTCTCACTAAAGTTACCTGTACTTGGTCCTAGTGGTTGTAGTTACATACCTCTGTTTGTTCTCACTAAAGTTACCTGTACTTGGTCCTAGTGGTTGTAGTTACATACCTCTGTTTGTTCTCACTAAAGTTACCTGTACTTGGTCCTAGTGGTTGTAGTTACATACCTCTGTTTGTTCTCACTAAAGTTACCTGTACTTGGTCCTAGTGGTTGTAGTTACATACCTCTGTTTGTTCTCACTAAAGTTACCTGTACTTGGTCCAAGTTGTTACATACCTCTGTTTGTTCTCGCCTGCCTCCTTAGCCAGCAGTACTTTCATCTTTTCACGGTCCAAACGCTCTACTTCAGCCTTTTTCTTCTGCTCCTCCTCTTCACGTTTCCTCTTAGACTCCATCTCTACCTTCCTGTGAACATCAGGAATGGTTATTAAAGGTATTTTATTTCTGAATTAGTGTAGTATATTTGCCACTAAAAATTGTACTATGCAACATGGCACGTTGACGACACATTTCAGTTTTCTTGGCAGCAATAGAACCATGTATATGACCAAGTACAACAGTATAACTGTGTAACAGTCAGGTATAAGGAAAAATACAGAAACAGCAAAGTCAACACTTCACATTTTATATGGTCCCTGTTAACAAAAATATATGTGAGAAAAGTTGAACACAGCAGTATAAGAGGATTAAAATTGCATTGTTTAAAATGTGGGAGTATAGCATTACTCACAGCTTCCTTTCCTCCTCCTCTGCTCTTTTCTTTCTTTCTTCTTCTTCTTTCCTTTTTTTCTCTCTTTCCATTTCTTCCTGCAACGTTTTGAAAAAGACATTGACTGAGTTCACTGCACTTGTGAGTACTTCATGAACTTATTTATACCTATATTTTACTGGATTTACTCTACCTGTGAGTAGTACTGAGTATACCTGTATTTTACCTGAATGAACCAAAGTTAATTACCCTTTTTTTTACCTGAATAAAACAGTAAATGACATTACCTGTATTTTGCGAAGACGCTCTTCTTCTTCCTTGATTTTCTGTTTCTCTAGCAGTTTACGGATGCCCTGTGTGTTTTGGTCCATCTGTGTAAGTAGGTTGTTATATGTTCTCTCCATTTCCACAGGGCTTATATCCGTCTTCTGTTGGTAACAAAATATCTGATTACTACACCATACATGGGTTGATGTAAATAACCTGACTTATAAGGCCTTCACTTGTACATGTCTCTGTCACATGACCCTAGTCTACCCTGATGTTTATTCTGATGGATATTATAGACATCAGTATATGCTCTTGATATGTATATATATATATATATGTATGTCAGTGTAACCTTGACTTTTACATCTCGCTGAAACCTTGACCTATACATAACAGTGTAACCTTGACCTATACATAATCAGTGTAATCTTGACCTATACATAATCAGTGTAACATTGACCTATACATAATCAGTGTAACCTTGACCTATACATAATCAGTGTAACCTTGACCTATACATAACAGTGTAACCTTGACTTACACATAACAGTGTAACCTTGACTTACATATAACAGTGTAACCTTGACCTATACATGTCAGTGTAACCTTAACCTATACATAATCAGTGTAACATTGGCCTATATCACAATGTATTCTTGACCTATACAGTGTAACCTTGACCTATATGCCAGTGTAAAGTTGATCTTTACATGTCAGTGTAACCTTAACCTATACATGTCAGTGTGACATAAATGTTTGTGTGATATATACAATATAAACCCTGATATATGTGATGAAGGACTTGAAGTTGATAGTCTGACCTTGACCTTTATACGTACCCTGATTTTGGAAATGAAGGTTTGCAAGGCTGTCTGTACAGCGTTAATTTGTTTTGTTGCAGTGTCCTTGTCTTTCTTGAGTTGCCCCACTATCTTGGACATCTCGGCCACCTGAGCTTGAGAGGCCACCACTTTGGTGATCATCTGATACCTGTAATATACCAACAACATTTGATTCATAACAATTGTAAAAGCTAAACTTGATGGTTGAAAACGTAATAGATCATTCTTAATGAAAACTCAATTGAATGAAACACTTGATACATTGTACTAGTATACTAACACTTGATACATTGTACTAGTATACTAACACTTGATGCATTGTACTAGTATACTTACATTTGATACATTGTTCTAGTACACTAACACTTGATACATTGTTCTAGTATACTAACACTTGATACATTGT